GGGGGAGGGTGAGAAGGAGAAGGAGGCGGCGGACAGGAGTGAGAGAAGGGGTGGTTGCGAGTTTGGCGGTAGTCGTTTTCCGAGGGATGTTGGGCGGAAGGTTCCCGCGGGGCCTGTGTTATCGCCTCGGCAGGATGACCAGCCCGCGGTATCAAATATTAAACCTACTTGCACCGGCAGCCTATCCTCGACAAGGTATCCAAACCTTCCCTCCGACCAGATCCCTCCGCGAACCCCGCGTCCACGGGTCACCACTAGCTCGCCACCGTTGCCTGCCATCAAAACCTACGCCTAGTAGGTTTACTGCCGCGTCTCGATCTCTGCCGGTTCTCCTTGCGATGCTTAGACTGTTACCACTGCACCGGTTGGCAAGAGGCGAAAGGAAGGATGCGACGGATATCAATGATCCGCCACGACAATCGGCTATTCCCCTTTCGCCGGTGCAAATGCAAATTCCTTAAGGAGGAAGGGACTTAAGGAGGAACGCTGACATAACCAGAATTCTCGAGATTTTACAGTTCTATGGAAAAGTGTCGTGAAAGAAAGAGGGGAGAGGCAGAAGACATAGTCGCCACGATCGAAAACGTCGACCTCTCCCAGGTTTCTTACAGGCGAAACGATCTCCACGAGTCACGAATTTGATGCTTTACGGCGCATCGTTCTCGTCGTGATCTGTGGGCGAAATGGTTTGCCCGGCATGGTGTTCTTTCTCCTGTTTACTCGACGTGAATCGAATTTTCCGAAAAAACAAAGCGCTTTCTAGAAGGAACGATTGGCTTTGTTTGGTCGAAACGGTAATGCGATCAAGGATAATTTAGGTAAAGTCAGACTTTAATAGGAAGATCTGCGTACATTTTTAAACGTTAAAAGCTTAAATGTCGCTATCATCGTAAAAGATTATTTGTGCTAAATTCTGTATTCAGTACTGATTCCGTATACAGGATGTTCCACTGTAACGCGAGGTTTCAATAATCGAATGAATTCAGGTTCAGAGAGAGAGAGAGAGAATTGGCCAGAAATTTGCCAGGAAATTGTTGATCCATCAGGAAACGTCCAACGACAGAAAATAAGCCGTTACTCGAAAACAAGCTCATATCGGGTATATATCTATTTATACGAACCTTTCTCCTTATTTCATTATACCGAATCGTCCCTGCTGTTCCCACGTATGTATAGTACAACGGAACACTCTGTATATATGAACATGATTCTATGCGTGTACTTATGTATTCCGTATGACTGTATGTATCGTTTTAAATGTTCCCTACGAGCTACACGTGAAAAAGGAGCGACAGGAGGAACGGTACGAGATGGTCGTGAAAATATGACGCATTTTCTAGCAAAAGGAAATGGATCGAATATACATTGATATGTATAATCATAGCGGTTGTCGACTGCAAGCTGCAGTCGTAGCCCCATTTGGTCAAAAGTAATAATTACACTGCTAGGTGCAGTTGTTCAAAAATGGGGTAAATGAAAGTTAACCTGAAATTACGTGATCAAACATATCATTTTTCTAATCAACGTAATAGGTATATTTAACGACTCGGCGCAATGATATAGCATGTCGGTATAGTGGACAAGGGTTGAAATTTCGAGAGCTACTTATATAAGTACATGCATGCGACTATCTTATTTTCTGTGGCAATCTGTCGCTGTCAAACGACGTTTCGCGTTTTCGTAGAGGCGTTTAATTAAAAAACGAAAAAATAAAAGAGAAGAATTAATTTTAGGGATATCGTATTCCTACTCTGTCTAAACGTTCTTTACAATTTGGATTAAATCTTTACAAGCCGAATTGATATTTAAAAGTATAGAGCGAGCATGACTTCTAAAATATAATAGAATATGAAGATCGCAGAGAAAAAGGTAAGAGATAAAAATGAGAGTATTTAAAAATAAGCGAGATAAAAGCCTGGTATATTAAATAATTAAGTCTTCATATTTTTTCAATCGCTACGCTCTTCCCAAATTAAAAGAAATGAATGATTTACTATGTATATTTTGCTTCTTACTATTTATATGTGAAAAATACTAAATAACTGATGAAAGCGAGAATTATTTTGCACCCAACTCTTCAGATAAAATTTTAGCTATGTCGTATCCAGTTTAGATCGTGCTTCAATACGAAAATAGACCTGTAATTACCGCTTTTCTCCAATAACTAATTAATTTCGAGCCGAGCAAGATCCATTTATTTTCCCCGCTTGATTATAAGTAATTTCATTATGCAGATAGAATAACCATAGAAACGATCGTCTTTTACGTTTCAAAGATAACGAACAACTTGCTTAATTTTATTAAACGGTTAAAACGGTGCTTTGTTTCAACGTAAAATATTTTTCGATTATAACATATTATCCATTACATTTCATTATATGCATTGTTTGCATATGCATGCAAATTACAGTTTCGTTCTAAAAATAGGGATAATATCACCGAATTCGTGTTACCTGGCATAAAATTGCTGTACTAGTCCTTATGAATTCATGCATGCAATTCCAAAGAAAGAAAAGTACCTATAACAAAAACACTGGGGCTGTTTCAAAATTCTCTGCATGATGCTCACCGGTGCTTGAATATTTGAAGGAATAAGTGTATGACGGAAATATGAACGCACAAGTACCGGTTCCGCACAATATACGAAATGCCTGCCAGTATGTTCGCATACTTGATTTTCACTAGAATTTACCAGCCTAATCGAAATCATCGATGCAATCTGACTGCCAACGAACAATCAGATTATCGCCAATCCTTTCCTTCCCACTTAACGATACTTTCTATCATATTTTTAATCAATTACGATCACTCGTCGGCACGGTTGATCAAAGAGTCAACAAATGTATCGATACGTCTACAGTAGCTCACAAAAATATAATAATTTATAAAGGAGCGTTCTTTCGCCTGTTGGCAAATATTCGGCGAATCGTTTGCTCGCGTTTATTTTATCCCGAAGAAGCACTTTCGCTGTAAATGAGTTTACGAACAGATCTCTCGATAGTCGCTGTCAATAAACCAGCACGAGCAAATTCTCTATATTCTTGCTCGTTTGGTCTAAACACACCTTCGCTATACCATTGAAATTTCGATATCTTTTATACGACACGTACAATACAAATACGATACACGAGACAAGCTCTTTACGCAAACGATAAGCATCGAGATAGATACTTCCGTGAGCCTTCGTATACATTAAAAGTATTATGCGCCAAAAATAACACAGAGTTTGAAAGTTTTTACGATGGAATCGGAAAAAGGTTGGCAAAGCTGGAAAAATGAAAAATAGAAAACAAGCGTAACAGGCGTGTTAAGTGGTATGGGCGAGGACAGATTTGTCGGGCAGTAAAAAAGGATAAAATCCGAATGTTAGCCAGGAAAAAAAATTTGAAATAAAATCCATACAATGTTCTATTACCACGACAACGTACATCCGTTTTCGATTTAAACTTGACGATTCACGATAGCTCGCACAACTGTCATTTTTCCACCCACGGCTCTTTCGCGCACGCCGCGCCGCGCCGCACGGCATTCTCTCTCGTTCTCGCTCACTCGATTTCTCATTTATTCAAGCGTCGTTCATTCACCTGCTCGTGAATAAAAAACTCGAGTAAAGAGTTCCGCGCCATTTTCGTCAACGGCAGATTACATTCGCTGCGCAAATCTCAACTCTTTACCACGTACAATAAAAGGAGGATGTAAAGTGTCTGTAAAATGATTAGCATCGTATCGGGTAGATTTGTCTCGTTCGATAGATTTATCTTAAAAAGTAGATACGACCTAATCGAGACAATTCTTCTATTAGCTCGATCATGATTATAGTATATGTACTTCACAGATATAAGTTCAAGTAAGAATATCTCTGTTAAATCTTTTTAATGAAAAATAAGAATCGACCGATCGAACGTTGTCGATAATATAGAAAAAAATATCTCAAAACTATATTGAAAAAGAAAATAATGAAATTACATTTAAGAAAATAACGAATTAAGAATATCACAATTGCTTTCCAATATTATCTTTCTTTCGTACTTTCTCCACGTATCCTCTCGTCATACGAGTTCGCACATTTCCTTCTCCTTTCTATTTTCGATGTCTAGTTATTTTGATCTTAGTTTTCCTGGAAATACCATAAATTATCAAGCATTAATAATCGTATTCAAAAATTCATTGAATAATTTTTTGTTCTCCGCTTTTATATCCTTGTGATCCTTTTAAAACACATTGCTTGTAACGTTTCTAAAAGAAACGTTTCGAGAGAATAAAGACGGTCGTACCAAAATAAACGAATATTTTTATATTTCTAGAATATTTTTCATCGAATTGTAGAAAAGAAAAGATAGAAAAAAATTTGTTAACCTTCTTACCTTCGGTATACATATTCCTTTAGGAGCAAATAATCACCCGTGAAAGTGCACCATTATGCAGCACTTTAATGGACCGATATTCTTGCCAAGTTTCGTCGCAGCTGTTCATAAGTTTAAAACTTATTAAAGTCCTAAGATTTGTCCATCGGAAGACTTTGTCTCTGTTAGAATCGGATTTTAAAAGTTACTTTTTAAAGATGAAACTTTCCATACACGCACACATTTTAACGCACTTTACCTTCAAATTTATTCGAAATCAGTCTTTGAATATTTTATAAAGAATAGTCTTTCATACGGTGTAACAACAAGTAAAATTTGTTTATAATTTGTTGACCTATTTGCTCGTTCATTTAGTAAACATTATAAATAAAATGTACGCATGTGTACAAATTAGAAAGTTACGCGTACATGCGAACACAGGTAAGTACATCAACGTTATATATTAAAATTCCGTACTAATAACCTTTACCGAGTGTAAATTTGGCAAAGGAGTATGTTCTATACATGTTACTCGAGATTCTATTAAATATCAAATATTTGTTCACATAAGAACAGGTTTCTTCTCGACGAATAAGTACATATTTCAAATAATCCTATTTATCATTGTGTCATTCCCTATTCCGTGTTCCATTTTTTGTGAATTTTTAGAGGAAAAATAAACAAATAAAAAGCTACGTTCAACGTGAAAACGTGTGTATCTATTCATTACACAGTGTATGTCGTAATATTATCGTAGGTTGTTTCCATCGATACAATCTCTAATTAGTCGTACAAAGAAAGATCGTTTGCTGTCAAACTGCGGCAAAGTGGAGAAAGCTGATATCACAAGATTACGATAATATTCATTGTGTTATCACTGTCATAGTGATGCACGTGAGGATCGTATTGCCTTGAAGCGTGATTTCCTGCCAATGAAACCACAGCACGATAATCTATTTCCTGTAACACGAAGCACGAGCGAAATAACGAGTGAGCCTAAACCCAAGAGAGTGCAATCTATAGAACGCTGATAAATATTTACTCGATGCTATGGATTGATACGTCCTATCGGTTATTGTTTTTCCGCCACTTGCTACGAATCACGATTATGATCCTACCGATATTTATGAGAAACTATACGATAAAACGTAGTAACGCAATTTTTGCAAAACCCGATCAAACGAAATACAATTGTTTACGATACAAGTCGGATTCTCCGAAATTTAACGTATTTAACGTGTTTTTTAGAGGATAAAAAAAAGTTGAAAAAATTGCTGTAAGTACATCTATCAAACCTTATAAATATTCCGTAGCTTTCACCGACGCTGCAGGATAGAAGAACATTCGCCGAAACGAGTCCGCAATTGCACGGTCAGAAAATTGGTTTACATGGTGGAACCGTGCATCGCGACCACTCGATATGCCAATCCGTTCACGTGCATATAATCATCCGGTCGTCGTTGAAAATCTATGAAAACCCATGGCCAAGTTCCATCCCCGACACCGATGCAATATTAATAAACCGTACAAATCACCGTGGCTCAATTCCACGGTTAAATCCACCAGTATAGGCCATAGATTACAGCAATTGAGGCCGGAAGGTAGGAATGGAACGGAAGAGGGTTGGCGATAGAGAAACAGAGAGAAAGAGAGAGAAAGAGAGAGAAAGAGAAAGAAAGACAGATACATGGGAAAGGCAACCGACGCAACTCAACGGTAGATAGCAGGAGGGGTGGCTCTGAAGTCGGGTCTGAAGTTGGGGAATAAGGAGGAAAGGAAAGAGCGTGGAGCTGGTTCGGAAGGCGAAAAGAATTCACGGGAGAAAACGGCGGCCGGATCGTGGGGAGAGGCTGTAGCAGCGGCACGGTGCGAGTGCGAGGAAACGTAGGACCACGTTTCACCGTACAATACACACACATACACACGGCCACATAGAAACTGGTGTAAAGGGTGCGCGATCGCGTGTACGCGCCGCTCACTCATACATCCTTTCCCTTCGTGGAATACATAGACTTCGCGTTTTCGCGTGTACGATCACGCAGACAGGGATACGGTCACACCAACGCATAGATTGCATACTTATGCCGGCACTGTGCACATAAAGTTAGGGCGGCGCGCGCTCTCTCCTTCGCTGCCGCACAAGAATAAGAAACACGGTAGCATACATAAACAAGGAGGTTGGGGATGCAGCAATTTAAAACGTACCCCGGAATTCCTCCCAACGGGGTCGTAGAGCGGCCCTCTATATTACGAATTCCTCCCTTCCCCCTGTGTACCGCCCGCCCTCTCCGCCGCTACTTTGCTTCTTCCATCTCGCTGCCCTCTGTGTCCTCTTGCATCTTAGTCGGAATTTCGGTCGTATAAAGCGAGACTATGAGCAACCATGTGCGTTAGCAACCACCTTCCACCGGAAATCGAGCTCGCCGTCTCGAAAAGTGGATTTCGGTAATATGCAATCTGTAACCTCTTTTCGGCTATATATTCGGCTGCAGGCGGTACCCGACGAGAACTTCTCGCCGTAACCTCGGCCTCCAGCTCCTTCCGGTATAATAGAATTTCTTTTACGCGAACTCGTCGGCGATTCGTATCATACGAGATCGTTCGTTCTTTCCGCCACCTATGATACGCGTATTATACGATAAAGGGAGGAAAATATTTCCCGATATAAAATAGAGAGAGAGCAGTAGGACCAGAGGGAAGCAGACTTTCAGAAATCGATTATTCTCCGGCAAACCGAACAGGCGGATGTAACAGCGAATCCGGCTGTTGTCGCTAACTCGCGATCAGTCGAAGAAAACACGTGTTTCGTCAAAGAAAGTTTCGACCAAAGTTCCGTTAGAATATCTAATCGATTTCTCTCCTTAGTAGCTAAGTAACAACGAGCGTGCCGAAGTTTCGCGCGAGGAGACTTGATCAGGCTGCTCGACTCTGACTCGAAAACTTATCCCGTCGCGTTGCCGTGCGAGTCCGAATCCTTTCGGGTTTAACGGCTATTATGCAGATCAGCGACCAGCCAACGAACCAACGCAACGCGCGGCTAAGTCAAATACCGTCAACAATGGAGAATCTGCAAGTTGCTTCATCGTTTCTGAATCGAGCGATTGACTGAACGGCGGTGTCGCCTCGGGCGGCTCTGTTTGCAGACATAAGGGAGCCGAGGCCCGGGCTGAACCATGAACGGCGAGTCGGGGGAGTTCAATTGGTGGCGGCAATCCTAGTAATGTACCCGTGGGGCTCTGTCAAAGTGCTTTCCAGAAGAGAACGACGTTGCATTCAGCATTCGGAAAGTTCATTCTTGCCGGAAGTGACGGTGCTCGCGACCGACTAGCTGCATCCCCTGGCGAAGCTGCTCTCTCCAACGCAGCCTCTTCTGGGTTTCTCTAAAAAAAAAAAAAAAAAAAAACAAGTAATCCTGTGAATAAAAAGTATCGAGAAATAGAGAAAAGGACACGGCGAGAGAATCATAGAAATTACGAAATTGTAGAATGATTTTGACGAAAGATTAGATGAAAAAGTATCCGGGTATTTGCTAATTTTTCACAAGGTCAATTATAATTAAAATATTACGAACAATTCGAATTGCAAGCGATTTTATTCTTCGTCGTTGTCATAGCTACGTATAATGGAATATTACGAGACGATTAAACCGATTTTTAAAAACCAGTAAGCAATAATAAAATCGATGTTTGTTACTGCCGAACCTTGCAGAGAATATTATCAAATTCTTGATAAGCTCCCTATCTTCGGATTCCTTAATGACTAAATTATAAATTTGGTTAAGAAAGGTCTTCTAAATCGATAGAAAGACTTGCCATGTTAATACCAACGGTGATTTGTACCTACGTATATATATCTTACGTCTTTTATCGCAAAGTTTCACTTTTGTTGCAAACAAACAACATTTATATTCATATTTTCAGAAATTAAAATTTGTAAAATACAGTTTGAATGTCTAGATCGATACTGGATAAATGTAATAAATAATAAAAAGGACTAAAATTAATTTGCCTTTATTAACTATTAACTCGATGATTATGAAAGTCTGTAGTCAAGGGATGACCTGATTAACGGATTAAGAAGAAAATTGTACAACACGTAAAGCACGAAGTAGTAAACGGATATGAAACAGAAGCTGGAGAACTTGACCCCAAAAGAAACGAGGAATGAAATAGGAATAGGAAATCTAATTGTTGGTTTGAATTGAAAGAAAGCCTTGCAACGTTTACGACGCGTCCAGCCAAGAAGGGGATTAACGAAGCTCGGAATCGTATACTTTTATCAAAGAGGCACACGCGCATCCCCGATAGTTGTTTGGGTGTTTTCACACCTCCATGCCCAGGGACTTAAGTTTAAAAACCGACGGCTAAATAATGTATATCACAGCGGCAACAGCCGGCGGTAAAACAGTTATAAAAACACTGGCAACTACGTTAGGATCAATTATTTAAGATGTACAGCTCCGTAAAGAGAGAGTAGACCAGTCGTAAAGGGGGTGGAAGAAAGTAACGCTTCTAGGACGAACCGGAAGGAAAGGGAATACAGGGGGTGGGAAAGGAGGTGGCCATCGCGGGAGTTATAAAGGTTGCAGTTAAAAGTTGCTTGAATTATCAAGGGACTGGCTGCTTCGAGACGGCGGTGACCGTTATTTTTGAGCTGTTGCGTATTGGAATTTGTACGTGAAAGTTCGCGTCATTTTGCTAGCGTGATGAAATTGTCAGGTAACAGGATGAAATTGTCAGGATGGAGAGAAATCCGTTGTCCATTGGTTACATCGTATCGGTCATAGTCGATAGCATTGTAGTAGACTTTTGAAAACGATCGAAAGTTAGTTGGTAGCGTCGCTGTATGAACAAAAAGAAACGTTTTACGTTTAGGTAGATAGGTAAAAATGCGAAAGACCTGTTAGACTCGACTAAAGGTGTAATCGTTAAGATAATCGACGAGCGATATCTTTTAAATTATCCCGAGGATAGACTCTAGCGTTAATATATAAGGAAAATAAATTTTCAGCCGGCAGATCGATTCGTTTGGTTTCGTATAAAAATTATCGTCGTAACAAGGTTCGTAGTTTTCATTGATTTCAACTAGGAGTGAATTACATTCTTTAACGCGACTAAATCGCTACTTGCGATTAGTGGTTAGTAGTGGGTAATGATCGCTTTAACTGTGATATCAGTATCGTTATTAACTGAACTGCGACGATCTCGTAATAGAAAATAGAACTCTGATTCTGAAATCAAAGATATCAGAATAGAGAATCAGGTATATGTATTATAGACTGTTTCGAGCTATAAACGAAGCCAGCTATTAAATTAAACTCACCAAACGCTTCTTCTTTATTATTACGATACAGGCACTCTTTTAAGCGTTTAAGTAGTCAACTTCAGATAAAATCGGAAAAATTACCGCAATTCTTCTCTTCGGTTCCGTTTAAACAACTATAAATACTAAAATAACAACAGGAAACACATGGCTGCTGATTTTGCCGATGAGGAGTCCGTTAGAGAGGATGAGAACGATTACGATGTTATAATTATAGGAGCAGGTTTAGCTGGTCTTACGTGCGCATATAACATTCTGAGAAAAGAAACTGGGTTAGATGTATTAGTCATCGAAGCAAATAGTAAATATTTTTCGAAATCAGAAAATATAAAGTCGGTGTTTGAAATGTTAAAAATATATCTTGATCCTTGCTCGATCTTCGATATCGGATATGTATGATTATTTTCAGCAAGTTGTTTTTATTATTAACCCTTCTTAAAGGCTATTATGGGTGGGAAACGTTAAAATTTTTTAAAAATGCCATCTTTGTTACAAATATATTTATTAGGCTTGTGTAAAATTAGGCGAAATAGGAGGTCGCATTTTACAAAAAAACTTTAGCAATACTTATCACGCCAATTCCTTGCAAAAACATGTGACCGATCTAGTGAAGAGGTTACATATAAAAATTGATCAAGCATCTCGTAACAAGACAAAGAAAAAAGTACTGTGCACGAACGATACATGGTTTGAAATTTTACCGAAATTTTATGGAGCCGAGGTTCACGATTTTTTTCGAACGGTAACATAAATCGATATATCTGCTATACTTAACTTTAAATATTCGATATCTTATCACGAGCGAAAAAATTAATCAAAGTATTTTACTTTGCTGCAGTTTCGATATATCATGCGTAAAAGTTTATTTTTCACTTAGATCGAAGAAAGTGTATTAAACTCAAAATTTAGTAATTATACGGAGAACGAAGAGGAAGCTAAGTATCTTGCCGAGACAAGTGTCGAACAACTACTACGTAAAATCGTTTATTTCCCGTATGCACGATCACTATGTCGAGCATATATTTGCAGCACATGCGGTACGCTTCTTTCAAATTTTTAGCAAAAATTACTAAACAATTGTATTTCTTTTTTTTATAAAACATATAAATACGTACCTTTACATATGTATGAACGTATATATGTAGGTATAGTAGACGGAGTAGCAAGTTTATTCGTCCTTTCTTAAAAGAGCATATCAAGTGTTATTGTAATATAAAGTCTATCAATAACCAAGAAATAATTTATTTACCCTATTTATTTATTAATATACGTATATCTTTCACCAAAATGTTCAAATACCTGTATTTGTACATTCTTCGAAATGTAAAGACAGTCGTGAAGGACGAACGAATTTATTACCGAAACGTAATAACTAAATAATAGTAAATAATAGTAAAATCGTAGTAGTGTAATTTGTAAATTTCAAGATGAAAAAGTAACAAGTAACGTAGTAATTACGAGGAAAGATATCTAAGATATCTAAGAAAATTCAAATTGAACAGAAAATGAATAAACAGTTTATAATTTTTCACAGCTGTAAGAGACCTCAACAACGTCTCAGCACTTTGGTTTTTCGTTATGCTGAACGGAGCATCAGGTTTTTTAAATCGATTGAAAATTATGATAGGTGATAGTAATCGATATTTCGTACAAGTAAGAGATTACGCTATACATGGAATTCGTATACGATCATTTTTGTAAGATGTATAGATATTTCAAGAAAATTGCGATAAGTTATTGACCTCTGCTTGGAAAAAAACTCCTACCTTGATTAATTGTTTGCAATATTCGTATTGTGTTTCTGCAGGATGGTATGTGTACGATTACGCATACACTGTTAAAGAATATTTTACGACAGCATGGAGAAATAAGATGCATAGAGCCAGTTAGTAAAATTACGTTCAATGATGATCGAGCTTATGTGTCTACGACGAGGAATTACTTCAGGTATACGTTTTAATAATTCAAAAATAAATATATATTTTTATAAGAAATCGATAATTGAAGGAATTGTAACGATGCAGGGGTAGCTCTATCTCGTGCGTATCTTTAGTGATAAATACATATACACAATGAGATAAATACACATTTTATGAACATATTTCGTATGCGATACGAAACATTTCTGAAAGAAACGAATCTGAACATGTACATAAAGGTTAAAAGGTATTTATACGTATATCGCAAACTTCGCAAAGACTATCAAAATATTTAAACAGTCTTACTGATTGCGTTATATAAAATAATAAACCATGACATTTTTGTGATACCATCTGTATTCTACTTTTCTAATTCTACTTTTAAGACAATTATTCCTGTTGTAGGTATACTAATTCTTTACCAAGTGTATGTTCGCAATAATTTTTATATAACTTTTGTATACATTTTCAAATTAAGCTCAAATTTTATCGATATAATAACGACAGTCGTATTTCATTACGCTTTACTAACGAAACTTCAAAATGTTTCGTATAACATAACATACACATACACACCCACAATAAGTACATATTACGTACATGCATAAAGCTGTTATAACAAGTGTCGAAATCAGTTTAGCTTTAAGTACGAGTGATTAGTATCATTTTTTACAGATGCGAATTCGTAGTTATTGCGATACCTCCATCAATGCAGAGCAGTATCATTATCGAACCATCTCTCTCCTCAATAAATATCGAAACATTGTACACACCGGCAGAAAATGTGTTTTTCAATGTGTTTTATAAAAAACCATTTTGGAGATCTAATTCTACAAAGGATATTATCACCACTTGGGATTCTAGTAACAATTCAAACATCATTTACGATGCAACTCTAGGCAACACGGAAGGAATCGTGTTCGCTGGGTTTCTTGCCGAACCTAATCTCGAACAAACACATAAGAGAGGACTGTTTGACACGTTGGAAGATTGTTACGAAACTGTCGAAGCATCGAGATTTTTACGATACAAAGAATACGATCAGTCGTTGATAAATGACGAAATGAAACCTGGTTGCCCTATGAGTGTCCTGAAGCCCATTTCCATTCAGGATTATATTAATCATACAGAAGCTTCTTACGAAAGGTACGAGGATGCTTTTAGGTATCAACGTAATCAAAGATGAAGCACATTCGTTTTTGCTGGTAAGGAAGGAACTTAATTACCACTGAGTGTGTCATAAGATTAGAAAATAATTAAGATCCAAAAATGGAAAAGGTTACGTCATAATTTTAGGTTCGTTAATTCGGTGATAAAAATAACTCCAAGTTTGTTAGTAGAGTAGTACCGCAAGACCGATGTTTAAAAATTGAATATTTCGGATCTATTTCGTATTCTATATATGTTTTTGACATACTTGGTTTACCATTTCTCTTAACGTAAAATATACGATATGCCGTGTAACGATATAAAATATTATTAATTTCTGCTTGTTATTGATAATTGAATTATTATACCTCTCGAGTAAAACGAACGCTGATTTGATAAGTGAAAAACGTATTCGTTTCTAATAAAACTTATCGATTTTGTAAGAATCTTCTTTGCCTCGAGCGAATACGCTATCAATTGGCCTGGAACGATAGACGGTGCGATCCAAGCTGGTGAAGTCGCAGCTTACGAAATTTTGTGGCGAATTAGACCCCAAGCACTTTCTTCTCGTGAAATGTCTCGTGTTGGGTATATACTTTATTTTATACCACCTGTACAAATAACAAACACACTTTCTTTCTTAATTAACATTAGAACAAACAATTATCGTAATATTATTACGTATACCTAGCGATTAACGCGATATTTTTATACTTATGCGTTAGATGTCTTTTTATTTATTTATTTTTAGTAATATGTACATACAATATGTTTTCGCAAAATCACTTTACGTAGAAATTTCCTTCTTTGTTTTTCGATATAAACCGATTCGCACAAACCGATATCGATTAGGTACCAAACAATACTAAATGTAGTATCTACTTGATATGGAATCAAATAAGTTTTAATATTCCGATAGCGTTCGTACGATAAATATTACGTTTCAATATTTCTTTCTTTCTCAACTTTGCAGTAGCACCAAGATTAAAATAAAGGCAAGATCAGACCAGCCATATTCCTTGAAAATGTGTGTTTTACAGTATCTTGGAATACTTCTTCACGTTGCTGTACTTGTCTCATTTTTAAGGATTGCTTATGACTAAACCAAGAAATTATTACTATAAAATAGTTACGATATACATATTAGAAGTTTAAGTTTTAATAAAATTAATTCCTTATCATACTGTATCATATTTTATTTGATTCTTCAAAGTACACTCTATAATAGGCACTAACAAAATTTTGCATACTTTTATGCTGAAAAATGTAATTACAACCGACCTAGATGCAGGGTAGTTCGTATCAAACATAAACTAAACAGAATTATAAGGAAATACGTACATACGTACGTATATATATACGTATATTACACATGTAAAGACGTAAACATAGAATATGACCCCCAACAAGAACAAGATATTATATTTACAATTTAGCATCATATATATCAAACGTAGTTTCATGTTCTTAGTGTTCCCGTTCGTACATAGAGTACAGTGGTGGATTAAAGTTAAAATGTACCATATTTTGTGAAAATTCATCAACCGCAGTGCAACTGCGACGCCAAACATTACGGAAACAAATTTATGTACCATACATTTCAATCCTTTGCTGTAAGTGATTTTTCTAATTAATTTTTTGGAAATTTGTTCTTTTTCTTCGAGTAAATGTTTTTTCCAAGATCGTGTATAGTATTATGAAATATCGCGCTGGCTTCTATTATCCTCTTCGTTCGATTAAATCAAAGTGGACACTTTTTTTTTTGGTAAATAATCTTATATCTCCGCTGTCTAACAATCGAGGCTGTATCTTATATGTAATATACAATAGATACATACATATATACGTTTGTTGGTACCATGCAATATCGAAAATATACATATTACCTAATTAATTTGCGTTGATTAGCGATCGTTCATATTGATTCGCAATGTCTCAAGAAGATACAAGCGAAGATGAGATAGGATTGCGGACACCGTCGTTCCTCAGGAAAGGATCTCGATGCAGTCGTGGTACGCCAGGTAACATCACAGTAACATCCATGCGTTGACATATATCAGAGTACATTAAGGACAATGTAATTGATTCTTTTATCAATTTAATTTGAAATCTTTGCTTCCATTATTTTCTTCTTTTTCATACTGTAAAGTTACTATTAGCAAACTGTAAGATTCTCATGTTTGTGGAAGAAATTATATTTTCATTTAATTCAGTTTCAATTTCCATGGTTTCGTGATAATTAATATACGATATCAACATAGATTATGATCCATAATGAACATTATGATGCCCGTTACATTACAGTAACTCCATCATCTATTACGAGTTCGATAATACTCGGTCAAATCCCAGAAGAGGTACTCCGTGTTTGGAGTCAACTACCAGAAGCAATACGCTTAGATCCTAGTTTGGCAGTTTTTCAAAGGGAATATGATCGTGTTCATCAAGCTATGGAAGGAAGGTGGATATTCTTTAAACGTGCTTTATTAAAGGAATAACATAAAAAAGCGGCTACTGCGATCATTAAAGCACATATCCCGTTACACATATTACATACTATGATAGTTCGCTATTTTTTGATTATCGAATGATAATACGTTCTATGTTTTATATTTTTGATAGAGTTTACGTACATGTATATTTTTTTGATATATCCAGCATTTGATTAGTTTATTTTAAAGAGTAGATCACAGAACGTGAACGTTCGAATCAAATAATAATAATAATCTATTGCAGATCTTTGGATGAAGCGAAGAAAGACTGTCTGGTAGTAAATATGTCTCTTGGGACACAGTCTGCATTGCCACATAAGTAAGTGACGCAAGATCTTTCCTTTAACGTTTAAATTAAAATTGTAAAATATAGCGTAAATAAAAAACAGTATTTTTTATTAAAAACACCTGTTTTCGTAAATAGAACGTGTATATATATATATGTATTTATGGTAAATTTCAAGTACGAGAATTTATATGATAGAATGTATGTATGTATTATATTACGTAATATGGAAAAATATATAAAATGTCAGAAATAAAATACATATTTATTACGTCACTATATTTCATTTAATAAGTGAAGCGAATCGTTGTTCAAGTATTATTTCCTCGCCAAAAACAGTAATAAACACAATTAACTCAATACCAAACACAGTTGGAATAATTACCCACGATAAATTATTTGGGATTATGATATTGTATATTAATAACGAGAATTAGTTTATATAAATGAATGAATAATATTTTTATTGAATGTTACACGTAGAATGCAAAGTAAAACAGGCGATGAAGATGGGAATAACGATATTACAATTACACAAGGGACCAACGAAACGAAACCAAAGCTTTATCGTTATATCAAGTTAATCTTATTATGTTGCTGTTGGCTAATATTCACTGTAAGTAACAGTACTAAAACAAATTGTAAGTGTATTAAAAGACATTTCTATGATTGAGCTTTGACTTGGAAAGAAAATAATTAATCGCGAAGATAAGTGTAATTTTAACAATTGGTGCAGAATTGGTTTAGAATACAAAAATACATTAAACGGAGAAAAGTATTTTTTATTTACGCAACTATATGTTAATATTCTGTGCATATCTACTGGTATTCGATTAAATAGATATCGTATAAGATTATTGTATTTTTTCATTCTAGCTAATACTGATAATTAAGAGCGAAAGGATCGAAGCGTTGCACCAAATTTCAATACCTAGTGGAGAAATAAAAAGTATCCCTTTCCTTACAATTTTGGTTAATTATTGAAGTAATTAAGACGATAAAGGCGTAAACATATTTTTCGAAACGCTGGATGGATAGATCATTGCATCGTATAATATTATTAAACCATTTCTATCACGAGAATGATCATGAATTATTTTTAAATTCAATTTCAGTATCGTACGAGAGAACGATTGTCACTGTTAAATTAATCTTTAAATTTTCGTAGGCTACAGAATGTTTGGTCAAGTTCCTAGTAAACATATCAATTTAATGATAGAAGGGTCATTACTTCCACCAATAAAAATGAAACCGGTAGAATACAAAAATGTATCTGATAGATATTTAATGGTATGGTTAGAACTACTCGTCGGTCAGGCAAATAATACTAATCAATTTTTATTAGGATCTGAAGAGATTAAGGTAAATATACGTATATAATTTAATTTACATGGCAGACAATTCTTATATTCTATACCTTTAACGAACCTTTTTTTTCATTTTTATCCGGAAACACGTTTCTTTTTTAACTTAAAATTTCTTTTAATAATACATTCATAATACGGTTACAAATATCACGCTATATTATGTTTAATATCTAAATTGATACTTAAATAAAGAAACACAGATTCGTTCTAATTCATAACCTTTCGCATATATAGAATATAAGTGATGTATGGATTTTACCAATACTTCCGGAGAAATTGATAGATATATTTCCTGGACAGAGGCAGCAAAAAATTTTTAATTTAGAAAATATCGACGAAAGGCACGTATAATAATCTCACGATTAAATTACTATTTGTACTCTATGCTACCCAATTTTCCATTACACGTAACGCGTAACTCGTCAAATTTGATTCAACGTTAATTTTATTCAATTTTATTACATAGTATCTAGTACGTATGCTTCCGAATATTGTACAAATCTACTATTATATACGTATTTTATGTATCTTAATATTTTATATTTTACAGTACTCTAAAATACGGTGAGATATTAATTAAATTGAAAACAAATCTAGAATCCAGTTTTGCCATCTCTATTAGTTACGATTTATCGTCAATGAACAAAGATGATGGAATAGCGTATGCCGCAGCAGTCTTATTTGGATTATATATACTTATAATATTCGAGGTAATTAGCCACTAAGAGCTATCTATGCATTATTTAGTTAGTATTTTTATTTTTACTATCTATGCTTTTAAATGTGATTTAAATAATTCTAATTCACAATTGGTTGGTATTCGTAGGTTGTACATAGAACTTTAGCAGCCATGTTAGCTTCGACTATGTCTATCGCGATATTAGCAACCATA